TTTGCTTCTGTCAACGATGACACAAGTAACACGCTCATGTCTAACTATAGATATTGTTAAGTAGTCATGAAAAAAAATAGAGGATCTAAGGGATCTATGAAATGTTGTACAAATCATCATCATTATTCTCTGCAAATCTCCAGCAGAGTTGATATCAGGTGGAAAATAGCCCATGGTGAGCTGTTATGCATTCTTCTATGTGTCTGGTTTTGATGTGTCACAACAACTCTTAAATTACCTCAAGAACCAGGTAGCACACTGATGAGCATAAATGGACAGGGGAGGAAGTGGCATGAGATGGATTTGAAGACATAATTAGGTGTCACATTATGTGAGGCATTGCAGATGTGGTAAAGGTCTGGATTTCATCTTCAAAGCAATGGGAAGCCATTGGAGGGTTCTGGGTAGAGAGAGCGACCTCTGCTCTGATGTGTATATGTTAAGAGACCACTGGGAATGTTCTGTGAAGAACACATGGTGGCAGCAGAAAGACCACTTGGAAGCCTTTTCCATGAGTGCAAGCAAGAGATAAAGACGACTTAAAGGAAGGATTTGGAATATGCTTTGGAGGTCAGTCAACAAGAATTGGCTAGTAGATCACATGTGAGGCATGATAAAGGAAAAAGAAAGAATGACTGTCAGGTGGTACCTGAGCAGCTAGATGAATACAAATGTCACTTATTTAGAAGGGGGGATACTAGAGGAAGGAATTGGTTTGGGATGGAAAGCAAGAATCGTGCCTTGGCTATGTTGATTCTGAAATGCCTAGTAGACATCCAACCGGCCCAAGCTACATAGCAGTGACACCCCTGATGATCATTAAGAGTGACTGCTCAAACAAAAACATTTGTGCTTCACCTCTGGGATCTGCATCAACTAAATAGAAATCAAATTAGCTAGTATTAATTACAGTTTATAAAATCTGCCAGAATTGTATTAATGAGGATTTTTTTTAGGTTCGGTGTCAGAAACCCAATGGCAACTGATTCTGTTCAATAGAAAAATCTGTTGGCTCTTGAAATGGAAAAAGTCCAAAAGAGGACTCACACATTACTGAGTCTGGGTTAGCTCAGATGATATCCCACAAATCTTTCCTCAGTTCAGCTTTCACTATTGTAGCTTCAACCTCAGGCAGAATCCCACATTTTGGGCTGTACAAAGATTTCCCAGGGTCAATTCTAATCTTACTTCCTACTAGTCTAGCAATCCAGAAGGAAAAGGGCATCTTTTGCCATAGCAGCACGAAGGCATTTGCCAGTTCTGAGCTCCTAACCATCCCTAGAGCCAAAGATGAATTCAGCTCCTCACAAACCACATAAACTGAGGTGGGAGTTGTCCAAAGGGAAATAGAGGTGCTTTCATTACAAGAGAAGATCGCCATTGGATAAAGTCAAGTAACATGTGATGTATTAGTTCAGGCTGCCATAACAAAATGCCATAAACTGGATAGCTTAAGCAACAGAAGTTTATTTTCTCATAGTTCTGGAAGCTGGAAGTCCAAGATCAAGGTGCCAGCAGGGTTAGGTTCTGGTAAGGTTTTTCTTCCTGGCTTGCAACTGCCTTCTTGCTGTGTCTTCTCATGATGGACAGAGAGACAGCAATCTCTCTGGTGTCTCCTTTTATAAGGGCACTAATCCCATCAGAAGGCCCCACTCTCATGACCTTACCTAATCCTAATTACCTCCCAAAAGCACCATCTTCAAACACCATCATATTGGCAGGTAGGGCTTCAATATATGAATTTGGGAGGGGGTTGGTTAGAGCACAATTCAGTTCATAGCAGGTGGACATTAAAAAGCTTACAGAAGTAACTTGAAGTTTTAACAGCAAGAAAAAGAAAACATAGTGCTACACAGAACTTTGCTAACATCACATAAAATTTGTGACTTATTTCACAACATATATGGCATAACAGGAGAGAATATTTTTCCTGCTCAAGAAAAGTGATTGCCGTTGTCACACACTAAGATTAACTCCAGGTGAATTAAATGATCACATACAAAATAATGGTAGAAAAACCACCAGACAAGAATTGTCTATTTGTCAGATCTTTATTTTTTTTAATTTTTTAAATATTTATTTGTTTTTGAAAGAAAGAGAGAGAGAGAGAGAGAGAGAGAGAGAGAGAGAGAGAGAGAGAACAAGTGGGGGAGGGGCAGAGAGAGAGAAGAGGACAGAGGATCCTAAGCAGGCTCTGTGTTGACAGCAGAGAACCTGACGTGGGGCTCAAACCCACGAACCTTGAGATCATGACCTGAGCTGAAGTTCAATGCTTAATTGACTGAGCCACTCAGGTGCCCCTCTCAGATCTTTAAATGGACAGTTTTCTACATTTTGAAGCAATAAAGAAAACAGAAAGAAAAATATTGGTCAATTTGTTTAAAGAAAGTATAACTTTGTTACAATCAAACAAAACTCCAAACAGCTGACTATGAATATATCTGCACTGAGATTTCTTCTCTAAATCCACTCATTGACCTAACGCTTACTGAGTGCTTACCAAGTCAAGTTTGCCAAACTAAACTGGGTTCCTCTCCTCTTTTCCTCCCTGGGTAAGAACATACTTTGATTATTTTGATGTCCATAAAAACCTAATCTTTGAACAACTCTGCCCACAAATTTTGTAACCTAGGTGAAATGGACCAATTCTTTACAAAACAGAACCTGCCCAAATTCCCACATGAACTAGATTATCTGAAAAGGCCTGTATCTATTAATGAAACTGAATGTACCATTCTGGTGAATGATGTTGATAACAGGAAAGGCTAATGCATGTGTGGGGGCAGGAGATATAAGGAAGTCTCTATACCTTTCTCTCAGTTTTGTTGTAAATCTAATACTGCTATTAAACAGGTAAAGACAGGGGCGCCTGGGTGGCGCAGTCGGTTAAGCGTCACGATCTCGCGGTCCGTGAGTTTGAGCCCCGCGTCAGGCTCTGGGCTGATGGCTCAGAGTCTGGAGCCTGTTTCCGATTCTGTGTCTCCCTCTCTCTCTGCCCCTCCCCCGTTCATGCTCTGTCTCTCTCTGTCCCAAAAGTAAATAAAAACGTTGGAAGAAAAAAAAAAATTTAAACAGGTAAAGACAAAAAACATCCAATCTTAACACATGCAGAGAGTGAGATGTGTTAAAGGGTCTGACCCAACCTTTGTTGCTTTTTAACTTCAGAGGAGTCCAGGCATTAAATACAGTGCTTTAGCCCCCTGCCCAAAAGTGGCTGTCTGCACCCCTCAAAATAGTCTCGGGGTCCCAGAACTGTGTAACACCAGGTCACCCAGGAATGGTGTCAGATGGCGAAAGGATTGCCCATAGACTTCAGCTACACCCTGCAGCACAACTAAGGTCACCCCCTCCCAGGAGGTGAAAGTTCTGACCCCATTTATTTTTTCACTCAAGACCAAAACAAAGACTGTGTGATGCAACTCAACTATGTACAGTATTACAGTCTGTTTCAAACATTGGTGGAGAGAGGTTTCCCCACTCTTATCTAGAAATCTATAGAACTTGAAAGGTCTCTTCTCTCACTGCAGGGCAAGTATCATGTAATCTCATCTGCTTCTTATGACAGAGAAAAATCTTTGCTTGAAGGTGTTAGGGGTCTTAATCCCATTTTGGAGCACTTCTTTAGGAAGTTTTCTTTTCTCACAATATTTTTGAGTGAAAAACCTTTGCTTGAAGGCGTTATAGGGTCTTAGCCCCATGTTAGAGATCTTCTTTAGGAAATTTTCTCTTCCCACAATATTTTTGAGTGTCTACTATATATCTCCACTCACTTCCTATTTTTCTCAAGAAATTAGTAACCCTGTACAAGTGTCAGACATGCAGCATACAGTAGAATATAGTGCGATAAATTAATAGGATATATATGAATGACAGACAGGTCTAGGGTTAATCAAGGTCTTGCTAGATGAATAGCAGATAAGTGTGACCAGTGAAATGTTAGTACTAAATTCTATGAAGATAAATCACTCTGCCTAGACTGACTCATCTAGGTCATCTAGCTCAAAATGTGTAGATCCTGATAGACAAACCAGAAAAATATGTGAATATAGAATTCATCCCTGAGGAAGAACAAATGGTACATAAACACAGGCAATGTTCAACTTCCAGAAAATTTGAATTTAAAGTGAGATTGACACCAAAAACCATAAATAGGAAACCCAATGTTCGTGAAACTGTGTTACAATCCTTTAAGAACCCCTTTAAAAAGAATTTGACTTAATAAGAAGAGACAGGTGCGAATTCATGAGCTGAGTCTAGTTACAGAGATAGTATGTTAGTTTTCTAGAGCTGCCATAGCAAAATACCACAGACTTTGTGGCTTAAACAACAGACATTGGTTTTCTCACAGTGTTAGAGGTTGGAAGGTGAAGACCAAAGTCTAGTAGACAGGTTTGGTTTCTGCTGAGACCTCCCTTCTTGGTTTACAGATGGCCACCCTCCTGCTGTCTCTTCACATGGTCATCCCTCTGTGCTGTGCATCCCTGTTATCCCTTCCTCTTCCCATAAGGACACCATTCATGTTGGATTAGAACCTAACCTAATGGCCTCATTTAAACTTAATTACCTCTTTGAAGAGCCTGGCTCCAAATACTGTTACCTTCTGAAGTACTGAGGGTTAGAGCTTCAACATATGAATGTGGGAGGACACCTAATGGATGAGATACTCTGTCCTCAAAATTCCAACTACTGAGAATTTAACCTAAGAGAATGGTTTTAAATATGTGCACTAGTATGTCCAATGGAAAATTGTTTTTAATAATTATAAAAATAATTGAAATAACTGGTAAATAAATTATAGCTGGTCAACTTTATAGCTATTTTATACTCATTAAGGTTATATAAATAAAGACTATATCAAAAATATGTTAAGTGAAAACTCTTCTATAATTTGGCCACAGGGTAATCCTAGGAGGTAATAATATTACCAAGGGTAATAATAGGAGATTCTTTTAGCTGCCACTAGAGGGAGTACTAACCTAGAGTTGGGTGTAAAGAGGCATCTGGAGCCCGCTGACCGGTGGCTTAGGGCTCAAAAACCAGAGAAAAACCAGAGAAAAAGAGAACAAGAGGTGGCGATGGTATCTACAGACATGACGGAGGTAAGTCCACAAGCGAATCAGAGTACTCAGGGAATAACTTAATAATTACCAAGGATATCTGTCTCCTGGGAAGTAAATGCTTCTTGCTACCCCTTTTCTCCACCTCCACTGAGGCAGAATATAGTTGCAGATCTAAACTCTGCTTTCCGATCTACGACAACAAAGTTGATTATTTTGGGCCCTGACTTGTAATTTCAGTTGGTTAAGAAGTTTCTGAAGAAGAAAGAGATGCTATCGATTAGTCCTTCTCAAAAACTACCAACACTGAGCATTTGTCCCGAGGCCTGACAGAAATTAATGCCAATTAACCGTTTATTGACTGAATCAAGGTGCATGAATTACAAGTGGGGAAATAGCCATCACAAGGGTATGAAAGTTTTTATAGAAGCCCAATCTTACCAGGAAATAATGTTTTAGTGCCACTCTCTGTGTTAACAAAAATTGCAAGTAACTGATATAAAGCCATTTTTTATTCAGATTTCATAAAATTTATTCATTTCAAATGATTGTCCAGAAAATCTACTGGCTTAACTGTTTATCTGATGTCTCCATTATTTCAGATTAGAAATCTGCTGGGGACAGGATCCAGTTGATGGGGAAAAAAATGTACAGCTGGGAGAGTTTCTGAGAAATTCAGCTTGGCAGAGGGAGAATGCTGGTAATAAATAAATAAGAGAGCTGCAGTGGAGGACCATTTAGAGGAGGAAGGAGAAAGTTCTAACCATCTCACTGTGTATTCCTGAAAGTGAACAAAACACACTTGTATTTAGTGAGGATACTGGTATGGCATTGAGTCAAGAATGGGTCAAATCATATTCTCTATGAGTTAATAATAAGAATGAGAAGACATTAGGGGCGCCTGGGTGGCTCAGTCAGTTAAGCATCCAACTCCTGGTTTGGGCTCAGGTCATGATCTCACAGGTTCATGAATTCGAGCCCCATATCAGGCCCTGTACTGATAGCACAGAACCTGCTTGGGATTCTCTGTCTACCTCTCTCTCTCTCTCTCTCTGCCCCTCCCCTGCTCCGCTGTTTCTGTCAAAAATAAATAAATAAACTTAAAAAAAAAGAAGAATGAGAAGATGTTAAAAAAATTAGAAAATATTTTTATCATAGTTCAGATTAAAAAAGGTTTTAGTGTTTAGCATGCTAAGTGTCAGCTTTCTGGAATACTCCGTTGCAAGCATACCTTTATCTGTTTATTGCTCCCCTAAGAGAAGGAGTCATCAGAACAAATGCAACTCCAACATTTATGAGCTGAGAGTTGGATATTTTGTTTAACTTTAATAGTCTTATGTATCACCAAGTGGAATTCACTTTTCAATGTTAGCTTCCTCCAACACAATTCATTTTAAGAGAACAGAAAGGACGTTGTCTTTACAATGATTGCTATTGTTTTCATTAAAGTTTTAATTTAAGTTGGCACAATTGGCATATGGAATTCAATTCTCTTTCCAGAAGCCTAGGGGTTCCTGAACTAATGAGAAAAATCAGAGGTATCTAATATGGACAGAATCAGATAGCTGTTAGGAAGAAGATTTTATATAAAATGGAAGGTGGGAAACATAATATCAGTACATAAAATGTAGTGCTATGTATATTTACTGCCCACCTGTTCTTCAAACACTGCTCTAGCCATCTTAAGAGAAGTAACTCCAAATATCAATGGATGTTGTTAAAAAGCAAATGTGATTCTCCACGGACTAATAAGTTTGAGAAACACTGTGTTAAAGCAAGTGAGGGTGTCTTTATTACCAGGCTTTGCAGCACAGTCAATGAGTTAATAGGGACTGGAAAGCCCTTGGCGGGGGATATGGTATATAGGCCACGTTTCCCGAACTCATTAGGTCATGGAACATTTTTCCACCGAGGAGCATATTTTGGGACCAGTGTTTGGCAGACGACACATTGGAAAACCAGAAAGCCAGGCTGTCAAGGATACTAAGGCAGTGAAGTCACAGGCTTCCTGGTCTGAGGCTCAGGGTCAGCAATGAGGTTGAGACAAAGACCCAGTAATCACACTGAGAAGCAGAAACTGTGCGTGTTCTTTCTGAGCTTTCAGCAATGTTTATTGAACAGAAATTTATTTTTATTTATTTTTATTTTCTTAATGTTTATTTATTTTTGAGAGAGAGAGAGAGACAGACAGACAGAGCATGAGTAGGGGAAGGGCAAAGAGAGAGACAGAATCCTAAGCCGGCTCCAGGCTCTGAGCTGTCAGCACAGATCCCTTCAGAGGGCTCGAACCCAACAACCACAAGATCATGACCTGAGCCAAAGTCGGAGGAAGCTTAACAGAGCCACCCAGGCACCCTGAACATTAATTTAAATGAACTAACTTGATATTTTCTCAACTATGGATTATACGTTTTATTTTTAAAGATCTCATTCTCTCTCTGTGCCAAGCATTTTACAAATATGATATTTAATCTCATAGAAACTCCACCAGGAGGGAATTATTTTTCTTATTATTCCTGAAACCGATGTCTAGAGAGAGAATCTCCTGATAGTCTCGGTATCCCCTCCATGGAAAACTTGGGATCTGATCCCACATCTTCCTGACTCTAGAGCTCTATCCATCCCCACCTGCCAAACAGTGGTATTTTTTTTTTTCTAAAATACACTTACACAATTAAAACACTTAAGTATAGGAAAATACAGAAATACCAGGCCATAGGATGGAGCCATTCAGGTATGACAAAGAGAAGATTTCTTTGCACTGAGGTTTAATATTTAACTGTAAAACAAAATAAAAAAATTCTAAGGTCTGTTTTCCTAGAAAATGCCAAAATAAGGAAAAAATAAAATCCATAATATTGATACACTTGCAATCAGCCCATAGAAAGAAAGAGAAGAGTAGAATACAGATACTGATGAGAGTCTAGATACATATCCATTAACCTTTCCAAACTTTGGTCAATGTCTTCTAGCATTTTTTTTACTTCTTTGGTATATTTGTTCTTCTTAAATACCAGCATCATATTTGAGTTCAGAATACATCTATATTTATTTTTCAGCTTATTCTCAAATAAAATAATTTATGAGATAAACTCACGTGTAGATTTCAAGTGTGTATTATGCCCATTTGCCATTACAAGGTCGAATTTCAATCACTTTATTCATCAGGAGATTGAAAATCTAAATTTTAAGTGCTCACAAGCATTCAAAATCTATGCTTCAGTTTCTCTGTAGCTGCCAACCCCTGGTTTGGTTGAATAGATGAGGTGAAAGATGGAAGGGCAAATTAAGGATTTGGGCAAGGAGAGATTCAGTTTTTGTTGAATGGAAATTATTCTGTTTAAAATTTTTTTAAATATTTATTTATTTTTGAGAGAGAGAGAAAGAGAGAACAAGCAGGGGAGGGGCAGAGAGAGAGGAGACACAGAATCTGAAGCAGGCTCCAGGCTCTGAGCTGTCAGCACAGAGCTGGACATGGGGCTTGAACTCATGAACCACAAGGTCACGACCTGAGCCAAAGTCAGGGGCTTAAACAACTGAGCCACCCAGGCACCCTTGGATGGAAATTATAAATGTCCTTTAAAAGCTAGATTTTCAATATGTTTATATATGCTACAGGGGTATTATTTAAGATCTGCACCTGGAATCTAAAAACCTCTGACAATAATAATGATAAAATGAGACCACAATTTTGAGCTCAGTGCTTAACACACACACACACACACACACACACACACACACACACACACATTCATCTTAAATATGTCATATTTTGAATTTTCTACCATGGCCTGGAATGTTTTATGGTTTTCAAGTAGGCTAAGTGCTAATACCTAAAGCCAAAGAAAATCCTAAGATCTTGCAAGATTTATTCTAAAACCAATCAATCTGCAATCAATGCCTTTGCAGTTCAACCCTTGTAATACAAGCAAGGCAGGTTGTTGTTGGAAGACAGAAGAGATGAAAGGAAATGAATTTAGTCCGAAAATTTGCTAAGATAATAAACGACCATATTTTCCAGAAACTTAGCTGACAATTAGCATTCTATCCTTGATCCAGGAGAGAAAAGTGCATTGCAGCTGTTTTATACACATCTGTATCTGTGTTCAGTAAAATGTTAGGTGCTTTAAATCTGCTTATGCAATGTTGGCAAGCAGAGACTTTTTCCTTTATTCTAACTGTGAATACTAATAGAGAATTGGTGCAAACTCTAGCTTAGGCGGTATAGATCCTCACATTTTCCACTGCTGTCTAAATCTCCTTTACATTCAGCTCCACTTGGAGAATGTTTCCAATCCCAGTTTCAACCAATGGGTGGCATTATGTGGCTTGCAGTTGTGCAGAGGGAAAAAGCCATTTAGAAAAAGGCAAACACTTTTTTCCTACTCAGTTGATTTTGCTGATAAGTAAATACTCAAAACATTGCATAGACCAAGATTCACCTTCTACTCTACTTCTCCCCAGAAGCTGTCTCTTCCTTCTTCTTCTGTCCTTCCCCTGAATTCTTGGGCCTCTTTTTTTTCCTGAGACTCATTTATTACCTCATGTTTTCTTCTCAAAATATTGCATGAGTTTTATCTGTGCCTTCCTGTCTTGCTGGATTCTCAAAGTGTCACAGCCTTGTTCTTAATACAAATGCTCACACCTCTCAGCACAGTCCTGGATGCATGGGGGCCTTTGATGGCCACTCTTTGGTTTGATTGCTTATTCCCGGTTCCCTACCAGCACAGATTAGTCCCCACCCCCTGCCACCATCCTCCACACACATGCCAGAGGCAAGCTAACCTCCAAAAGCTATTTCTCCTTTGTTTTTTGTGTAGGACCCAAATCAGACTTTGGGATCATGAGTGATATGTCACTTGTATGTGTTGCTTAGCCCACAGGGTATGTTTCAAATGCTTATAGTGCGCGCACACGCACACACTGTCACACACATCACTTGGCATCTGCTATTCTCAGTGTCTAAGAACGTATCCACCCTGCCTTGGTAACTAGAACCTGGTTTTCACATCAGAGGAAAATCTCTGAAAAACACTAAACCAGGATTGTATTTTTTTTCTCCTAAAAACCATTTCCATATTTGAAAATGAAGAGAAATTCCTTAAAATAACCAATATAAAGGGCCAAAATCCCCTTTCTTGGCAGTATTCTGATGATCAAATGTTGGTCCATCAGTGACTACCCAGGAAAGGAGAAGAAAGGAGAAAAAGAAGGTAAATCATGGAGAGTCTGAAAGCCCACAAGTTGGAAATCATCTCTCCTGGTGCATTCGGTACTCTGCCATAATATTTACACAGTGCTTGTTACATGCTGGGCATTGTTTCAAGTGGGTCACAAGCATTAACTCATTTAGACCTCACATATGCTTATGAGGATAATGATAGTACAACTGAGGAACTGTAGGCCAGAAAATGGAAGCCATTTGCCCAATGTCACAGAGCTCATACCTGGCAGAGGTGAGGGTGAACCCAGGCTGACAGACTCCAGAGCCTGGCCCTCAACCACTGAGCTATAAGTGAGGGAGAGAAATCCATCTGGAGGGGAGAAAGCTGGTCAGTAACATCCACCAGATTCTAATCCTATCACAACTGTGCCATGAGTAGAGACAACAGATGGTAAAATTGTATATTTTAAAAGCTTTTATTGACCAAGACAAAGACCCTTCCTAGGATGTCCATGGAAATTAAACAGGCCTTGCTTCATTTGTGGAACCAGAAATCCTGACCTACAGGCACTAATGCTCCTGGCCAGTCCAGGTCACAGGGCTTTCCACTGATTGGCCATCAAATGAGCCAAGGAAATGGAAATCAGAAGATCTGCCCCTTTTTACAGACTTCCTGTTGTCCACCCACCCTCAGGGGCTTGTGTAGCCTTAGTAGGGATGTGCCCATCCAACCCTAGGCTCCTACCCACTTTCCTTCATTCCATGCATGTGCCCAATTGCTGATCAGCCACTCCCCCTCCCGGGTACAATTGACAGTGCTGGGTTTCTTCTCTTGACACATGGCATCAGAATCCACCTAACAAAACACTCAGTCACCATTGAAACTTCTCTTAACTGTCTTTCTGCCCACACCCAAAGTATCACTAAACAGTGCCAATTTAACTTCCTAACTAGCTCTTCAATTCTTACCCTTCTCTCCATCTCCATGACCACTGTTCTGGCCCAGGTTCTGGTATCTGTGTGAGTCACAACTCTCCAGAAAAACAGAACCCATAGATGTGTACATATATAGAGAGACATTTATTTTAAGGAATTGGCTCATGCTATCGTGGATACAGCCGAGTTCAATATCTGCAGGTGGACCAGCAAGTTGAAGAACCAGAGAGGCAGCAATGTCCTGGTTGAAGTTCAAAGGCCACCTGCTGGCAGAATTTCTTCTTGCTCAGGAGAGGACAGTCATCTGTTATTTAGGCCTGATTGGAAGAGGGCCACCCACACGACGGAGGGCAATCTACTTAGTCAAAATCTACCGATTTAAATGTTAATCTCATCCAAAAATGCCCTCACAGAAACATCCAGAATAAAGTTTGGACACATATCTGGATGACATGGTCCAGCCAAATTGACATGAAATTAACTATCATACCATCTTTTACCCAAATTACAGCCCCTTTATCAGCTCCTGCCTCGGTCCAACCCCTCTGAGCCATCCTCCATAAGGCATCAGGTGACTTTTCTAAAATGCAAATCTCACTATATAACAGTGGGCCAGAAATACCTTAAGTGGCCCTTCAAGACCTAGAGTGGGGAAAACATCTAAATTCATTAACATAGCCTATCGGGCCTTTAAATAAGTAAGCAACATGATGACATTTTTACAGTTTGCAAAAACATCTTCACATCTATTTGCTCATTTAACCCTCCCAAGAAAATCACACTTAGCAAGCCCTAGAGGCTACGGTGCTAACTGCCTACGATGTTCTCATGCTCCAAATGCACTGAGCTGCTTGCCGTTTGCCATGTTTGCCCTGCTCTCTAATCTTCTCATTTGCATATGCTATGGTATTTTATCTAGAATGACTTTTTCCATATTCTCCATCTTGCAAAAACAAAACAAAAAACAATTGTTTCCCCCCCCCTTCTTCATTTTCCTTTTGTCTTTTGTTTCTATCAGCACCTAGCAAAGCCCAGCCCCTATTCGTTCCCTGCAAGGCACTCTCCAGCCGTGTATTCAGGGGCCAGAAAACTACATGCTGAGAACCAAGTCCAGCCCATTGACTGTTTTTGTAAATCAAATTTAATTGGAACACAGATTCAGTCTTTCATTTTCTATTGTCTATGGCTGCTTTCAAACTGCACCAACAGAGTTGAATAGTCACAACAGAAGTATGACCCTGAAAGCCCTAAATATTTAATATCTGGCCCTTCATAGTATAAGTTTCATGATCTCTGCTCTGCTTCAGGTATCAGGTCAACCACACGTCCACAGGAACTCCAGGACTCGTGCCTGTGGGGTCCTAGAAGAATACCATGTTCCAGCCCTTGTTCCGGGAGAGCAGCCCGACAAGAAGACTGTTCTGCTGGTTGATGCTATATTTCTTTTATGACGATTTGCTGCCGGAATGGTACTGGCACAGTGATTTGGGGTGACTCTCATTCACATCAGACAGAGGATAAGTTCAGGGCTCTGGCTACCAATGTTATACCCCTTGTCTTGAGTCACGTGTATAGCCTGTGCACTGCCTCTTGTGGATCTGTGTTTCTACTATGGTACTTTCTGTAGTCTAAAGCACCCAAGAGAAGTGGGGTGGTAGCAAAAAACTCTTACCGTATTTTCCAACCACTACATTCCCTAACTCTGGTACTGAGTGGAGTACGACCCCTTCCACAGGCTCCACATCATGTGCCAAGCAATGGAGGTACCCATTTCCTCTGAGGGCTTTCCAGACTATTGGTCCACAATGTCAACTGGTACTTCAGTCAATATCCTTTCTTGCCTCCGATCAACGCGGTAACATCGTGCTCTCCCAGACTGGTCCTGGTTGGTTTCCCTAGTACAGCAGGGTGAAGGAAGGTCATTCTTTGAGTGAACAGAACTGCTCTTCTTGCTGTGCCCACAGTCCCCTACCTATCTTTACTGATTACCATGTGTGGAGGGCAAAGGTATGGTTAACAATGAAAGAGATCACGTTCAAGAAATGCAGTGATTATGGACTAAAGAATTCAAGAGAAGACATGGTTGGAAGATGTGCCATCCGACATTTATGTTACAAAATCCTAAACAGCACATTTCACATGACCAAAACGCAGATTATCAATTACATTTTTCTGTATGCTCCGGGGAAGACTTTCACTGATGGTCATCATCAACAAAGCACGGTAACAACCTTTGAAAGAGTCTCTGGGAGTCAGTGTTTGGGAACAGCATAATGGATGGGTGATGCAGTGTCATGAGTAATGTTGGAACCAGACTTAAACGAATGGTGTTAGGGAACTGCAGAGATAAGAAGTTCTATGTTGCTTCAATCCCAGCAGATTCTGAAGAGCAATGGCATTGTGAATAGCAAGTACATTGCTATCTTTTTCTCATCAGTAGAAGATACAAAGTTAGCCTAGAATGGTGTGCTAGACAAGGAAGAACATAAAGAGTTGATTCTGGACCAGAACAGAACTAGGTGGTGCCTGGAAACTATGAAAAATCTTCACATGTCCTGGTTGGATAATAACAAATATGTAAGTACCTTTTCTATACTCCTCATTCTAAATCTTCATCAATAAATCACAGTGTCTAACATGAACCCATGCTTAGTACACTTTTAATCAAATTGCTTATATAGACAAGGGTCTTGCAAAAAATACTTGCATGTTCTCATTCTGCAATGATCTCTCTGACTGCAGAGATATCATACTCTGATTAATCATGGGAAGGTCAAATGCCCCAAAACTGAGCCAGGCGGTGGCGTCAGCTGCATGCAAAACATGGGAATGAGAGCCAGGGAGGGATCGGTTCCCAAAGGAAAATCAAAATCAAACTGCTCTTCCCAGAACTGGGGAAACAGACACAGCACGGGCTAAAACAAACAGATGTTCATCTACCTCTTGCATGGTAAGTTAGTGTCATCACTATCCTCTATGAGATGCCTAAAGAATGGAAAAGCTGGGTCATTTGTCCGAAGTTCCATGCAAGTCAGGGACATAGCCAAGAGATGAGCCCACATTAAATCTGACAAGCTAACTCTTCATCTAACTTGGATCGTTTGCATTGGGTAAGAACTGATCAAATCCAGGACCTTATATCTGGCAAAGACTTTACGTCAGAAGACTTGGAATAATTCTGACTCCTTATTTCTATTAGCTGGGTGATGTTGAACAGCTTAGTTAAGCCCTCTGAATCTTGTTTCTTCAGGTCCAAAATTTGGGATAGTAATAACTTCCTTGCAGCATTGACATTAGCATTAAATGACAGTGTACAGAGATGACTAAGCTTTAGTAATTACATAGTATAGTATAATTACTACTCTAGTAATTATAGCAGATATAAAGGACCTTGCATTTTATTTACTTTTTAAATTTTTATGTGCCATGCACTATTCTAAATGTATCATAAATATAAACTCAATTAAAAATTAGTGGATTCTCTTTTATTAAATAAGTAAACGAAGGCCCAGAGAATTTCAGTGACTTGCCCAAGGTCACAAGCTAGCGAATGGGGTGCCAGGATTCAAACCCAGGCAGTCAGGCTCCAGAGTCTATTCTCACATCACTACTCTCTACTGTCTCTCAGGAAAAGGCAGCTATTATTATTATTAAGTAGCAGCACTTTATTGCCATTACTATTATAGATGATAAGACTGAAATCTAGAGACACCAAAATAGAAATAAAGCTAAAAATAAATCCTGGGTCTAATGTTTCCCAGTCCACTGCTCTTTCCAATATGCTGCCCCATTTCCTACTCAGAGGAGAATTACATTAAGGAGAAGTAGTAGGATTATGTATCTGCTGACAAAGGAGATCTTTCATACAATTCATCAGGTATCATTATCAGGGAGAAAAATAATTTTTTTTCCATGAAAGATTCTAATGGTGGGTAAATCAGTAAGAGAAGGCGAGTGGAGCTTTTCTTGGTTTCTAGATGGACGCAGGAAACAGATACAGATCCAACCTGCCCCAGGTTTGGGAGTCACTGTGCCAATTTGTAAACACAATAACAGTTTTAGGATTCTATTCAGAAAGCACATTAGTGGCCCCAGCAGGTGCTAGAGGCTGCAGAGGGCTGGAGAATGCACAGCGGAGAAGACACAATCTTGGAAGTTAACGTTGGCCTTCAGATCTCTCAGGAATTGCAGTTTTAACAGTTCGACAGCCTCCTCTGTTGAGCTGTTAAACAGAGCTAAAACAGAGTCACAGACTGCAGGCGAAACCCCGAGGGCCAGGCCACAGTTTCCACGTTCTTGTAGAATTTCCTTTCCACTTTACTTTAAAGAAACCTCACCTCCCCTGAAGCTCATTTAGACCAAAGCATAAATCAAGCATCTGTAAAGGGCCAGATTGTAAATATTTAGAGCTTTATGAGATATGCAGCCTCAGTCCCAACTGCTCAACTCATATTGTAGCAAAAGCTATGAAAGAAAATACATCAAGAAATGGGAGCAGCTGTGTTCCAATAAACTTTATTTATAAAAACAAAAAGTGGACTGGATTTGGCCTGGGGGCTGTATGCAGTCTACTGACGACTGGCATTAATCCTTCTTCCACGTAGGCTCCACCCACTCGCTTCTACACCTGCCTCTTTATCACCAGGGTTTCCCCACTGAGCATCAGTCTGAGTTGCCACTAAGTGCTAAGCACCGAGCTTCCTCCCTTTCCCAGCCCCTGCTGTCTTCTGAGGGAACTTCATTCAAGCAGATGAACTGTCCAACAGCTTGGCCTCCCTGCCTTGACCTGTTTAGATTTAAGTATCTTCCTTCACTTCCAGGTCACTTTAGAGAACCACATCCACACCTGTCAGTGGCCAGGTGCTTCACCTCTGATTTTTAACTGTCCGTCTCTGATCCCAAACCCTCGGCCTTCCTAACAACCTTGCACCTCCTTTCATCTCCGCTATGTCATCAGTCCCTAGGCCATGCTGACAGAGTAGCCCCTGGCCGCATGTGACTACTGAGCCCTTAAATCTCCAGCTGGTACAAATTAACATGGGCTGTAAGTGTGTGTGTGTGGGGGGTGGGGGGGGCTCAACTCAGTCAGCTGAGCTCCCAACTCTGGATTTTCACTCAGGTCATTTTTTCACTGTTGTGGGTTTGAATCCCACATCGGGCTCCATGCTGATTGTGTGAAGCCTGCTTGAGATTATCTCTCTCTCTCTCTGTGCCTCCCCCACTCACTCTCTCTCAAAATAAATACATAAACTTAAAGAAACATGGGCTTTAGGTGTAAATTCATGCTAGATTTCTAAAACTTGGTATAAAAAAAGAATGTAGGATACCTGAATAATAATTTTTACATAATTACATGTTGAAATTTTAATATTTTTGAGACATTGGTTAAATATATTTTTAAATAAAAAGTCACAAGTGAAAATACATACAGGGAATCATATAAAATGTCAGTAGCAGTTGCCCTGTTGTTAGAATTATGAGTGATGTTTTCATTCACAGCCTTTTTCCAAACTTTTGACAATGAGCAAGCATCATGTTGATAATAAACTAGAGTGAATTAAAGAGAAATAGCTGAAATCAGATACAACCCTACATCTTGCCTGATCCTGCAGAATATGCTAAAATTAACCACATGTGGAATTCATCTCCAAGAAAGTACAACTTCTGAACTATTTAGAACTGATGATCGGTAGAAATAATGTGATCCCCCAGGATTTCATGTTATTTTGTAACTTAATATTATTATGCTGAGCATAATAACAGCACAGATGTATAAAAATACAGATTTCGGGCGCCTGGGTGGCTCAGTCGGTTAAGCATCCACCTTCTGCTCTGGTCATGATCTCACAGTTTGTTGGTTTGAGCCCAGCGTGGGGCTCTGTGCTGACAGCTCAGAGCCTGGAGCCTGCTTCACATTCTGTCTTCCACTCTCTCTGCCCTTACCCCACTAGTGTTCTGTCTCTCAAAAATGAATAAGAACATTAAAAAATTTTTTTAGAAAATTACGGATTTCAAGATGAAGAAAAACTTGTTTTATTTCTAATACATAAGAAAGGAGTTAAGGAAAGGAGTAGAAAGAGAAGCTCCAACACTTGCCGTGGCTATACGTCTCAGCTGAAACCCGGTCAGCCCTGCACCTCTGCTCTTGGATAGCCACCAACATTCTGTCCTCTTAGCCACTGCCGGAGCTGGGGCATGGGTGGGCAGTCAGGGCGGTGCCAGCAGAGAGTGCTGCTTATGTGCAACCCCAACAGGGAGTGACAAGGCCCCACAGTTCTCTGCTCACCAGAAGGCCTGAAGTCAGTTCCTGCAAGGGAATCCTGAGACAGCATGATTAGGATTCAAGTGCTCTGGGTCCATATCTTTTTTAAATCACTGAGGATTAGAAGTTCAGGAGGTGTGGTCCCCAGATGAGAAGCATCAGCATTACAGGGATCTTGCAGGAAATGCAGATCCTTGGGCCCCACCCCAGACCTGCAAAAAAATTCCTCCTGTTGGTGGGGGGGGGGGGGTGCGTGGGAGCCATCAATCTATGTTTGAACAAGCCACTTGGGGACTCAGACGCACATGCAAGTCTAAGAACCTCTCACCTAACTGGGCAGCTTTGGACAATTATCTAATCCCTCTGAACTTCAGTTTTCCTCCCTGGCCAACTGAAGATAATAAAACCTAACCTCAAAGCCTTGTGAGGATTAATGAAAGGCTGAGTATCGAGCACAAAGGAGCACTCCATGAATTGTACCATCATTTTCCCCCTCGGATTCTTAAAAACTCAACATCCTCTGTGCACACTTTCCATTTTTCTTCTCCCTTAATACATTTAATTCTTTGCTTAATGGAAACAATAAAGGGACATCTCTGCTAGATTGAATAAAATAATATATTAGATGCAGATTAGCAGGTCATTATGGTAACATTGTTTCTTGTTACAAAAAAAAAAAAAGTCATATGGGCAAGTGGAAAAAATCCTAGAGTCAGACCTGGGGCACGTGCTCCAGCTCTAACTCTGTGCACGTCCCCTTCTGTACGAAGCCATGTGGAATGACAGAGGAGGCAAAAAACATTGTAATTAAGGTAACTCAGGGTTCGTATCCTACCTCTGCTATCACACAGATCTGCAGGGTATATTTCGAGCCCCCAGAACACTCATGCACATACAGGGCTGTGCAGAATTCCCAGGGTGCCACCTCCCTCCTTCCCTTTGCCCTATTAGCCTCATCTTTGTAACCAGGCAAGGAGATCAATGGGATCTTCCACCATGAAAATCAAGGAACAGGGAGAAATTGTCCCCTAGACTCCTATATCATTGGGTCATGCTTTTAATCTTAAACCCCTCTCCTCTCATGTCTGCTTGGGATGTCAACCAACTCTGCAAATGGCAGGTTCTCCTAAACTCCCTCTGCCATCCAAACCCAGACAAAGAGGATGTCGCTGCTTCTAGCAATCAGAAGGCAATGGCGCCCGTGCTCAGATTAACTAACCGGTGAAACACACGGCCAGAGAGCCCTGAATGACAGCTTGCTGTTCTATGGATACTCTGTAACTGGTCCACGTGCCACACACTGAACATTAATGACTCTCCTTATGACAGGAGACAGGCATGCTCCATGAGACCACAGACATGCAAGGCCACCATATTCCAGGACTCCATCTTCACCGCTGTTAAGAGTGCTCTTCTGATGCGTTCATTTCCTTGGTTGCTGTAACAGATGACCACCAACTTGGCAGTTCGAAACAGTCCGATGTTCAGGCCTGTGAGGCCAAAATCAAAGTGTCTGCAGGGCTGTGCTGTCTCTGGAGACTCCCAGGGAAAGTATGTCTCTACTTTTTCCAGCTTCTGGAGTCACCTGCAGCTCCTACTTCCTTCTTCAAAGCCAGCACTGTGACACCTGGCTTCAGTCCTCACATTGCCTTTTGCTTCTGTGGACAAATTCTCTCGGCTCCCCTTGAGGACACAATGGTAACATCAAGTGACTACCCAGACAGTCCAGGACCACCTTCCCGACTCAACATCTTTAACTTAGTCACATCCACGGAGTTCCTTTTGCTGTAAAAGTAACATTCATAATTACAGGGATTAGGATTTGGTTATTTATTTGGGGAGGGGCATTAGTCAGTCTACCACATTCAGTGTCAAGTGTCTTTGTTATTAAGATGATAAATCTCCCTTCCATTAGGTGGGGAGTAGTAGATATTGTTACTTTTGATTCCATCACCAGATATTGTTACTCTAATTCCATTAGCCCATAGAAAGAAAAATGGACCCTCCAGGCTTCATGCACATCTGGGCAGGGCTGAGAAAGGCAGGTGCTATCAAGACCCTCGGCGCCGCCAGGCAAGTCAGACACTTCCCATCTGTGATCTCAGGCTTTGAAGAATGAGGAAGCCTTGCTGAGAAAACTAAATGAGACAACATATAATAAGAGCCTATCACGGAGCTTGTGGGGTAATAAACACCCTGTCCCTCGTTATCCACTCTGGCGTGATTCCCGTCTGTATAAAAAAGGAGTTGCTCAAGGATTTTGCTCAGATCCTGCAAAATCCAGCTTTCTATCACAGTCGCTCCTGAGCACACTGAGATGCCTCCTCCATATTCCCTCACTCCAGGCAGGACTGCGTCCTGTGCTCAGGGCCCCTTTGCCAGCCTGGCTTCTGCTGTATCCCAGATGCTCCCAGCATGGTCCTGCCATGGCGCCTTTCTTTCCCAGAACAGAGGAAGACATCCAAGTTCACTTGCTCCTGTTCTCTTTTCCTTTCCTCTCCTCCCTGCTTAAACCTACTTCCAGAAATATTTGCGGGAGGGACATAAAAGATCCTCACTCCCATCTTTACGAGATAAACAAATGCTAAGCGAGAAACCAACCCCCTGACCGAATAGGTTGGCTGGCTGGAGACGTGTTAGTTTTTGCTTTGTTATTCTTTTGTTTCCCTTTTCTCTTCACACTACCAGGGCTCTTCATAATTTCAGAAGCTGATAAGCACACACTTCAACAGAGACTATTATGAGAAACAAATAGTTTCTACTGGTAAGTTGTATAAACTCTGTATCTGCTCCTCGCTTTCCACCTTCCAGACTGGCACTCTCATCTGTCCTCACAACACCTTGAAAGAAACTCAACTACCTGCCTAGTGTTTTGTGGGTGCCAGAAACAGAATGAGGGCTTTACATGTATTTCCGACAATCCTCGATCCTGTCACTAAAGGGACAGGGGCCCTGTGTTCCAAATGAGGACACTAGGCTCAAAACTGTTAAAAGACTTGTTCAAGTTCCTATGGCCCAGTAAATGCAAAGACTGGGCTTCTCTGGCTGACAGCACACCAGACTGAGACTCAGAAGACCGGGTTGCCGTCACCAATATCACTCGGTCCAGGTGTGGTAGTTAGAAAGCCACACTCTCTTCCTCTTCCAGGACCTGAGTTTCCAGCTCTGACTTTCGTCAGGATGATCTCCATTTTCCAAAATCAGAGCTCCGTGGTTATGAGTCTGTCATGGTACAAACATGCAAACAGAATGGGACAGCAAAAACAAAACAGAACAGAACAGAGCCACTTCACGAAGGCCTAGAAAGCCTTTGCTCTACACATCCCGCCCACCTAGGGGATCAAGGAGAAAAATGATTGGGAAGTGTCTTCCTCCCACGTCCAGAAGCTCTAGAAGTATTTTGGGCAGTGGGAAAATGAAAAGAAGGAAGGTAGAAGGTTGGAATATTGAGAAGGGAGGGAACAAGATGGCCAGGAAATGGAGAGAGAAGAGCTCACCAGGTCGGGGAGAGCCTGCAGGCCTGGCCAGTGCTGCATTTGTCTCGGAGCCAAAACCAGAGAGAGATGTGCGCTCAGGTGTCCTCATGCCAACAGACAGACACACGCACGCACGTGCACTGGCACAGGGACACATTAATGCTACACACACACATTTCACTTTTACAAATAAGTGGGTCGCTTCTGAGAGATGCTTACAAATGCTAGTACACAGCACTTCTAAACAGCCTGAGGGATCGGAGTGCTCTCTTCTGTCCCTGCCTGCAGCTGTGGTGAGTCGGACTGTGGCAGGAGACGGCCCCAGAGATGCTTGAGCCACCCCAGCTGCCCAGGCCACATATGCTTCGCACCCTCCTCACTCACACAAGCAGTCTACCTGCCTTTGCTGGCTCACAGGAAGTGGGATAGGGCAACGTACTCACCACCCTAGGAATGAGAATAGCTGAGTTGACCAGACTAGGGCTAAATTCATTTTCAAATACTGTATTAGTTAGCTACAGTGGTGTAAACAATGACCCCACACTGAGTGGCTTGAACAACAGAAATGTGTTCTGTCATAGTTCTGGGGCTAGAAGTTCCAGATCAAGGTGGCAGCTGGGCGGTGCTCCCTGGGAAGCATGTGGGGAGGATCTGATCCAGGCCCCGCCCCCAGCTTCTGGTGGCTCCTTGGCTCTTGGTAATGTGCAGTGTTGCTGCACATTAGAATTATGGGGGCATCTTTTAAAAAATTCTGCCCCTGCCCCAGAACAATTAATCAGCCTTTCTAGGGATGGAGCGTGGGCATTTGAAACCCCCCCTGGACAAAGCTGACATGCAGCCATTTTGAGAAGTGCCAATCTGCAATATTCCCTAGAGCTGGTTGAGGGGACATGGTGGGTGTCCAAGGCATCCCCCTGTCAAAACACACAAGCTGACTCTTTCTCCTTGCGGGAATCTGTATCACAGAATTGTTCACAAATGCTCACAGTAGGCAAGAAGCTGGCTGTAATTCTGAGGACAACCGCTACAGTTTCAATTTCCATAATAATCAAGAACAAGCATCATTTCTCCAGGAAGTTGTCCCTGACTCTCACGGGCTGAGTTGACTCTTCTTCCTCTTCACTTGGGTTTCCTCCTAACATAGCACTTATTGTGTTCCTGTGATTGTCTGTCCTCCCTGTGAGGCCGTGTGCTTCCTAAGGATGAGGTCTGTGTCTTGATCATCATGCTAATACACATGCTGGTAACAGGGTTTGTGAACATTTTTGCATGAATGGATGAATAAATGAAGAAGTGAGTGGATGAATCAATGTAATGATTCATAACAGAAAATTCAAACCAAGATGTTAGTAATGGCTTATTACTAGAGTAATTTGGAAGAAAGACATATTTACCATTTTGCCAAGAATATGCTTTATTTGATTTTATTATCTTGATCGCAAGAGTCCTCATTTGAGACCAAATTTAAGAATATACTGAGTACTGCTCACTTCTAATAAGGTTACACTTTCTAGCAAATGTACTTTCAAACACAAATGAGGGGAGCCTGGGTGGCTCAGGTGGTTGATCATTTGACTCTTGATTTCGGCTCAGGTCATGATCGCAGGATCGTAGGATTAAGCCCCACATCAGGCTCCATGCTGAGTGTGGAGGGAGCCTGCTTGAGATACTCTTTCTCTCGCCCTCTGCCCCCCCAACTTGCTCTTGTGCTCTCTCTCTGTCTCTCAAAAACAAACAAACAAACAAACAAACAAACAAACCCATGCCCAAGGCTTCAGACTCTTTTTCCACAGAACCAGTAGCTTTCCCTTCTGGAGTAAGAATGAGAGCTCAGACATTTATGGCAAATCATGAAGGACACGGGATATACCCAAAACAGAATTTGTTGTCAGGGAATACTGTTAACTAAATTATTCCAATTTAACTTTTATATGTATGGAAACAAGGCTTTGCACAAAGACAGGATGATAAGCAAGATAATGTTCTAGAATCCAAACACATGCTTCTAAAAAATAAGAGGAGGTCCTTAGACAAATCTATATCTGCTTTTTCTTCCTATAAGCAGGCACCACTAACACAGGGCAGGTATTATGCTCATTTTTCAGGAAACTGAAATGCAAAGATGCTTAAAAATGCAGAGATATATCCCTGCACTAATTTATTCAGACAATGCATTTTCACCAAATACTTGCTATGCTTTGGGGAGGAAAGAGATGTTAAAATAAAGCCCTTACCTCAGAGGAAATTTCATTCTAATATGGAGAAAGAAGAATGCTATATAGTTGTAATATCATACAGGATGTTGCTCCTGCAGCAAAATGCTCTAAGTATAATGTGAGAGTAAATTAAAATGGAGAAATTGGTCATTGGGAAAGTGATATTGACCGGATGTTCAAAAAACATTAGGCTTTGCTAGGTAGAGATGTGAAGGAAGAAAATGAAGGTATGAGTAGGGTTTAGGTGAGAATGACCATAATCAGGGTAAGAAGCTTGGTATTAACTTTAAGGGCAGCTGTGAGGGGCCTCTGGGTGATTTAGTCAGTTAAGCATCTGACTCTTGATTTCAGCTTAGGTCATGATTTCACAGTTCATGGGATTGAGCCCTGCGTGGGGCTCTGTGCTGACAGCACAGAGACTGCTTGGGAACCTCTCTCCCTCCCTCCCTCCTCCTCTGCCCCTCTCCCGCTCTCTCTCTCTCTCTCTTTCTCTCAAACTAAATAAGTAAACATTAAAAAAATACATAAAAGCAACAGGGAGCCATAGAATTTTTTGAGAAAATTTTTGTAATTGAAGCAACACTGTAAGAGAATTAATCTCTGAACAAAGTTTAGGGTAAATGAGCAGAGAACACTGGAAGCATGGAAACCAGAATCAGAGACACATTCAACTATACAGTTGATGGGGAGATGGAAAGAAAACAGTATCAGAGGCATGTGATGAAGGACTGATGGAAAGTTCCAGGCCAAATTGGCACCTGAGCACAAGCATTTGTCTCTCCACCTTCTAGC